CAGCATTTCGCTACTAAGTATTTATCAAAATAAATAAAAGTATATGTCCATGTCTTCCCAATTGATTTCAGCCCCAGGCAAGTTCACTATGGAATCAATAAGACCGAAAAATGAAGATGGAACATTCTTGGGGTGAAAGGGTTTATACCCAACTATTCCCATGGTGGCAGGTCAATCACTAGAAACCCGTCAACTCAAGTGGAGCAAGTCTGCATGCAGCAAGCCGATCTCTGCCTCTGGGCCTCTCTACCCCCATAGCCATCTCAGTATCTGTCCTCAGAGCTGCCACCACTCCAGTCTCTGCTCTCCTGCAGCCATGTGGCCATGCCACCCTGTCGTCCCAGAGCACTGGGCAGAGCTGTTTATATAGAGTCAGTAAAAACATATTGCCCGCACATGCATAGTGAGCAGGCTGACCAGGGCCAGGTAAGAATCCTGGCCATAGGAACCTTCACTTTATCCACAGTCCGCTAAATCAAACAAACAAAAAACGGATGGAAGAATGTTCATGGGCAAAACTGGAAACAGTCCATATATTCAACAACTGAAGAGTAAGATTAAGTAAGTTGCAAGTATATTTTTACTTACTGCTTAGTGATTAAAAAGAACTAATGACTGATACTTTAATAACATGTATAAATCTCAAATACAATATGTTAAGCCAAACATTAAAGAATATACACTGTATGATTGAATTTATATGAAGTCAAGACAAAAGTAATCTATAATTACAGAAATCAAAATGTGATAATCTGGGAGTAGAGAGAGAATTAATTGAAGAAGAGCATGAAGGAATGTCCTGGGGCAATAGGAATGTTCAATACTGGGGTAATCAGATGTAAAAAGTGTCAAAAGTCAGCAAACTCACTGCAATATGTGCAGATGATTGTATGTTACTTACAGTTCAGTTGAATACTGAGGCACATTGAAAAACAGACTTAGTTAAGTGAAAATACACACTTGGATAGGAAGAAAATCTTGTTAAAAATATGAGTTCTCCCTAAAATAGTATAAATCGTGTTCTCAATCAAAATACAAAGTTTTGCTCTGATGTTTGTTTTTGAATTTAACAAAATAATTCTAAAATTCATCTGAAATTAGAAGCCATGTTTAATGAGACTGAAGGGATTGTGGGGAAGGCCTTTTGGGCTGAATTTAAAGGGTAAGTATGATTGAAATGGCAATACATGGGAATAGATGTAGAAAAAAGATCATGGACCCTATTTTCAAAGGCAAAGAAAACTGTAAAAAGAAGAGACTGATCCAGTAAAATTAGAGCTCAGAGTGTGGGGGAAAGAGAGTGAGGGCAGAGCATAATCATAATGATTGGTGAGGCTTTGAGTCTAAGCTATATACTGTACATACTAGAGATTCATTGTATTATTTTGAATAATAGTGTAATTAGATAGGTGTTTTAGGTAGTCAGTTCAATGAACTGAGGGTGCGAGAAATTGAATATTGTATACTTTCAAGGCTTTTTGTCTTAGTTCATAATGCCCACTTAAAATCTGCTCTGCCCCTCTCATTCTGTACCTGTCATAAATTTTTTTCATTCATAAAGTGCCTCTCCTTTAAATAAACACATACACACACAAAGTCACTAAATTTTGCCTTATAGATTATAAGGTAATAAAGGACAGAAGTCTGTCCTTTTCACCATCATTTATACACTTATGAATAATTTTTTCTCCTCTCTTTTCCATCACCCATCCCACTTTAATTGCCAGTGTCTTATAGATAACATTGACTGTAATGAATGGTTGTTGAGTTAAGGATAGGTTAGTGTTCCATATGAGAACTCTTTAAGGTCTAATAGTGATAGAGAGGATGGCTGGGGGGAAAAAATGAATTTGATAGCAAATTCAGTGAGTAGAAGTGACATCATGCAAGAGGTTCTAACCTTGGAGATTAAGAGAGTGGTGATGTCATGAAAAATGCCCATATTTCAGTAACAAGCAGACTAAGAGGTACCAACAAAGAAGCAATCAGAGGAAGCCCAAAAAATATTCCACTTTTTATTGGGGAAGTTGGGGGGGTGGGGGAGGCCTTAATTAGATCATTACATTAGTAGTTCCTCACCTTTGTACCTTTTACCTTTCAATTATGAAGCTGTTTTAAGATGTGTATGAATGAAATATAAGTTCATATAAAATATGAACCTGAGAACTTTTTAACATTTAACATTATGGAAATAAATGCCCATGTTTAGAATGTTCTCTCTTTATATCATAGTGATTTTGTAATAGATGCTCAAATAGGTTCAGGGGTTGGGGGTGTGTGTCTGTGTGTGTTTGTATTTTGTCCTGGGAAAATGACATCCTAAAAGGATAAAAGAGCAGTATTGAAAATAGCTAGACTAAGGCTGTTTTTCTGTCACCACACAGCAGATATGGAGAGTAGTAAAAGCAGACAGATGGACAGTTCTGCTAGTTTTGGAGTATTTAAATAGAGAAAAGAAACATTCTGTTCTTTTTATTCAGAAATGGAATTTCTATGCTAAATTACTGGTTGCAGTAATAAGTTCCATATTCTGACCAAAGAAACATTATTTTTTTTGACCCTGGGGATAATGACTCATGCTCTTCTCAGAATTTTGCTTTTGTGGAAACTAAAGTGCAGTCATAAATACAGCACTGTTATTTGTATCTTAGCACTAATGATACTATTGTGAGTGGACTAGGGATGGGAAGAACATTACTAGTATTGTAAAGCCAATTGTAATAAAGGAAGCAAGCACATTTTAATTAACCGATTCTTAAGAGATGTGAAAGTAAATATTTTTAAAACTAAATATGCTGAAATATATTTACTAAATACAACAAAATAATGATTTTGTTATTTATGCTATAAAAATACAGTTCATACTTTTCTCTTTAAAAAAATCTTCATTTTGAGGGCTTTGTGACAGAAGGTAAATTTCAGACTCTTAGCATTGACAGTGGGGATACTTAAGTTTTTTGTCTGCCTTTTTTTCTCATGTCCCTCAAAATTGGCATGAGACTATCAAAATTACAATCACGGAGGTCATAAAGCAACTATCAGATAATAAAGATAATTAGTACTGACTAGATGAAGTTAAAAGTTTATGTTCCAGTTTTAGGTTAACCTTAATCTTGCTATTTAAGATAATGAGGTTTGAATGTGCTCTTTATGTACTGTAATAGATGCTCTCATTCTGAATTTTCACATGAGGATTCTTTATTGTGTATCAAACCCTGTGATAACCATTATTGGGCATATACACAAAAGTCTCTGTTAATGTCCCCCACCATATCTCTCTTTACTTTAGGAACTTTCCCGTGCTCATTGTAATCTTTCCCCTTCTTGAGGTACTACTCCCTAGTGAAGGTTTAGAATTTTAGCTAAGTTCTCTTTTTCAAACTTTCTTATATCTCCCTCTGTGCCTTTGTTTTAATTTCAGCAAAATAAGCTAATAGGTCTAATCTGTGAAACAGTTGAGAGATAATAGACAGTTTAATGATTTATGTTAAATAACTAGTCTGAAAGTTTTGACAGTTGATAAATTTTATAAGGAAGCACTTTAGTTTATTGAATTATTATAAGGTAATTTATTAGCTATGTGCCTTAAAGGTGGTCAGTTGATGACATACTGAGCATCAATTAATAGAAATGGAAATATTCTACTTATTGATTACTTATGTTGCTTGTTTTTATAGTTATACCCATTTCAGTTCATCTTTCTCATTGCTCTCATTTTAAGGTATAGTTACTATAACTTACCATATACTTGGTACATTGTACCCATGAAGAATAAGTGAACAGTGTTTAAGAGGTCAAAGTAATGATCATCTACTAATATTTCTCTCTGCCATCATTAAATGGTTCTGAAGTGCCTTGTCTATTTTGTATTGTCTAAAAAATACTGATTTTTTAAAGTATCTGTGCTTAAATGACTTCACATTCTTGCCGTCATTTCAAGGACTGCTGCTTTCCACATCTTGGCAAGGTGATGCCTCTGCTCTAGTTAAACTACCCCCACTCTTGATTGCACTTCTGGTAGATCTTTGTTCCTTTGCTTGCCAGCTATTCTGTATCTCTTCAAATTTTTCTTTAGTGAAATAGCCTTTTACCAGAAATTGAATACTGAAGGATGATAAATCACTATTAAAGTTGGCCAGTAGAGGTTTCACCATTACTAGTATAATACTGAAGTATTCTGTTATTGCCAGGAAGTAGAGCAGATGGCCAGTGATTACATGTTATTGTTTGATCTTTATCATTGAAAAAGCAAATTTTAAAAATCAGCTTTCTACTTTGTTTCATGTCTTTTATCCAATTTTGTATTATCCCTCTTGAAATGTGTTGTAATGTGGCTAGACAGGTAGAATTCACTGAACAAATAATACAGTATCTTACATTCATTAGAGTACAGTTTGAAAAACATGGGACATATTTGCAAGTAGCTTTTATGACTTTATCTATTAAGTTAAATAAAACTGGGGAGTACTTGCTTTGGCCAATATATTTGGCATGTGAAGTATTCAGATTAAGAATAAACATTAAGTGATTAACAAGTGAAATTTAGTGAAATAAAATTTCAATACACTATACCTCCTATGCTATGTACCTGTTTGTGAGAATGCCAATAATATATCAATAGATATGGTACAAGAGGAAATAATACTTAGAGCTTATCAGAGTGGCCTTTAAGAAAGGAAATTATTTCAAGAACAAAGACTGAGATTGTGATATCGGGGCAAAATAGCAAGGGTAGATAAATAACTAGACAAAAATGTCAGGGACCTAAGTATTGACATGATAGCTAAGGATACTAAATACATCTCAAGCCAGATTTTTCCAGTCTAATCTAATCCTGGTTGTATGTTAAATGCTTTGTAAACTGAAATATGTTTTCATGACACTGTATTATATTGATGCTTTCTTATGTAATGGAGCTGTTAGGGACTGTGGCTTGGGATGAATGAAACTAAAAGCAAGGTCCTCCTAGTATTTTTGGTAAAAGTTTATTGGATAGAACTTGTTTCCATAGAGCATACTACTAAAATTCGAGTGACAACAGAACACTAGCATGGCCCCTGTGTAAGGTTGATAAACACATTCAAGAAGTACTCTATATTTTTAATCTAATGTTTTTATTTGATTCACTTACCAATAGGCTGTTTTCCTGCTGCAAAGCAAATTGGTGGAGTCCATTTACACTTCCTCGTTAGCCTGTCAGTATTGGAGGTCACCATCGTGATCACTGCAGCACAATCCAGACCTCATCATTCAATTTTGAAAATATCTTTGCAACAGCCAGTTGCAATGATACATGAGCATCTGCTTTTTTTCATTTTTTGTGCACGGAAGTATGTACATTAGCGTAGAAACCATAGCTGTAGTTGTGTGACATTTGGCCTCAGGAAATTGGGAACTTTTTTACAGACCAGAGACCTTGATGGAGCTTTATAATTGGCCCCTGATTCTCTCTCCCTGAGATCAATCTGGCCTCTGGCAGATAGTACAAATCTGTTAGGTTTAGAATGTTGGGTTGGTCAGAAATATTAAAAAAATATTCCAAGTAAAGAGACCTTCTATGAAATATAATTGGATGCAATTAGGTGAATATATTGTATCTGCTAGTATCCCCAGTCAAAGCTAACTCCATCTTTATTGGACCAGACTAGACTTCAAACTTAGTATTTTGGCTTTAAAAAAAAATTTATCTATGGACATAAACCACCTTTTCAGTGCAAGAAAGATAGAGCAACTGGGTCTACTGAGAAACCTGTGGCTGACCCAATTTTCAATTTATGCAAGACTTGTATTTTTGTCATTGTCAAGAAAGACCATAATGTTAATTAGTGGGGTGCAGACAAGTTTTAATGTATCTTGATAGTAGGCGGGTACCACCAAAAGGAATAGTACTTGACTAGAAGACCCAGTAGTGATTATTGTATCTTCATCCCATGGCATAAGGAAATAAGATAGCTAGTTGTTCATACAGATAAAAAGATCAAAGGGAACAGTGTGAAGGAAGCGTTTCCCAAAAGTTCATTCACCCTCACCCACAGTAGCAGGAAGACTTGAAAGAAGACTGTTGACGTATTCATACACTATACCAGAAAGAAACAAAATATAAGAGGAAAACCCATTTGAAAAACTTCAGGGAGAGAAATTCTCATTCCTTATGGTTCATGAAAACATCTTTCTTTCATCTTGTTTATTACAGGTCTTTAAAAGAAACAAGTCAAGTGAGCTGAAAGACTGTTGCTGTTAGTTATCTTTTTCTAGATGTTTAATCTAGATATTTTTAAGCTCTTAAATGAATTTATCTAACTGGGTCTGGATGATACATTATTTTCTCTTCTTTCTCCTTAAATCACTATCAACCAGAAAATAACTATTTTGCCAATTGGCCAAGTCCAGGATGGTGTTAGCTTCATTAAGACATGATAGAGTAAAATTATTTTTGCTGAAGTCCCCAGGGTTTTAACGAAAAAGAGGGAGAGTTAGTTTTAACACTTACTTAAGCAGAAAAGTAGAGCCCTTTAAGGAGCAATATGTAGTGGGTATTATCTGTGTAATTCCAAGTAGTAAATTCTAAGTTATAAACTTCCTGAATTATATGGGACATGAGTCGCACTTGTAAAGGGGAATTACAAATGACTGTGAGCCCTGTTTTCTGGTTACTATGAATAATAAGTTTTGTTATAAACTTTTACATAGTAAGCTTTCAGGACCATTTTATGTTCCAGGGGAGCTTAGCAGGAAATTGGAGTAACATTTCAAGAACCCCTCCATACTTTTTGTATTCCTTTACAAATAGGCTGTGCCCTTTCTGGGCTGGTCTCCTCATTTTATCTCATATTGGTTAAATTTTCATGGAGGCAATCAGTTGCATAATTAGGCTTCTGTTTTCACTTTGTTCAAGTATATACTCTTGGTCCTTAAATGTAGCTACAGCTGCCAAAGGTAAATACCTTAGGTTTCTATCTTTATATAAAACATACTATGTAACCATTGGACAAGGAAAATTTTTTTCCATTAAAAAATTACTCTTCACCTTAGACTAAATTTCTTTTAAGTATTGCTTCAGTGAACTAAATAGTATCTTACTACATGTAGAAGATGAGCTGTGTCCTTGTCAAAAGAGCATCCCTGCTTATTTCTAAACAATCCAAGTCTGATTAAAAGACATTTTTTTTAAATATGATGAGAAAATCAGTAGTATGGTCTATTTTATTACACTTCACTTTTCACTTGTTCTCACTGGTCATTATTTATTTCAGCACAAGAGCCAAATGTATTTGTTACCTCTCATTGCACTTTTTCCCTTTTTTTAAAAATAAGAAAACCAATATAATCTCATGTATAAATATAAAGAAATAGATTTTACAAATTACATACAGCATAATTCTAAATAAGAATATTTGTTAATTTTATTTGTTATAAACTTCCTGAATTATATGGGACATATAATTTTTTATTATTTAATTTTTTATTTAATAATCTTAAGGTCAAGTATGTACATTTACAACTTACATTTGGTTGTTTTTTCTTAAGTTTTATCAGTACTGAAATATGTCAGATGTCCATTTGATGCTCTCTGCTAAAACTGAGTTTAACTGATAACAAGCCTAGTTCTAATTTTGCAGTTCAATAAAAGTAAAAAGATAAAGATGAAAAGCCAGTGACATCTGTAGAGATGTCAAATACATAAAATATTCTGCATTAAAAATATATAAATATTTTCAAAGTGATTTTTAAAATAATATCTACCATCTCCTTACATTAAGCCTAAGCCAGTAAAGTTCTGGCACCTTTATGGACACACAGGTCTAAGATAGCATTGATCTATTACAGTGAGAAGGAAAGTTTATTGAGTTTTCATGCTCCACGCACTAGACTAAGGATTTTACATGTATCATATCATGTAATTTTTATAACATCACTATGAGTTAGTAACTGTATATTCACTGTATGCAGATAAGGAAACTGCCTGAAGCTTTCCCTCCTGAGGAAGTCTTAAGAATTCAGAGTTCTACTCTGGGGTTAGTAGAACTGACGATGATGGTGCAGTCATCAGAACCAAAGCTAAAACTCTAGTTAGGTCATTTTTGCATTAACCCTGACAACTAGACTAGGTTCATATATGTTGTTCTCTTTGCTACTAAATAGTGAATAATACCTAGTTGAAAAATGTAAAGGTTTGCAAAACATTTTCAGGTCTGTTGGTTATTCATTTGCTGCAGGTGTTCAGATGTTAAAGCTCAAGTCACTGCTTAGATTCTCTTTATGAAATGGTTAGCTTTGTTCTTCTCTTTGAACAGTGGGAGGCACCCATAATCCTGCCCACTTGACTTAATGATGCATACCATTAGTCACAAGGTGGGCTAGTTAATATTGGAATCAAAGAATTAGAAGGAAAGTATTCTAGAAAAAACAAAGCCAAATATTAATTTTTTTAATTTGAAGTATTAGTTATTCTTTTAGTTCTATATTTTGAAATTATATAGTTTATCATATATTGCCATCTTGATCTGAAAGAGTAAGTGGGGTTTCTACAGTAGCCTGATTTATAATTTACTTCTGACTTCTGCTGCCTGTTTTATGTGAAGCTATGATAATCTACCCTGACTCCCTCACAAAGATGAGAAAGGAAATATTTCCTGGAAAACCCTATGTCACTGTGAAATCATTTGTCCTATTAAATTATGTGATATTATTAAATATCTCTTGTATTTTGCACATTGCTTAACTACATTTACCTTTCCTCATAAGCCTATCCTATCCCTTTAACCTTCACCTCTTTGAATGTTTAGTCTCCTTTTGAGCTTAAATTTTAAGAAATTTAGTTTATATTATCACACACCAAAATTTGAGTTTTTAAAGTTCAAATTGGGAAAATTAGTGACTACACGTTTTGAGATTTGGTATGGTTTATCTTTGTAAATATGGGATTTAACTTTATTATTTAATAATCTTAAGGTCAAGTATTTATTACTCCACTTCACTTTCATTAATAGCACTTATGTTTGTTTTCCACATTTGATTTTGCTGCTCAACACTGGATTCTTTTAACCCACCTTAATAAAGTCCTTGTTCACGTTTATTGATAATCAGATGTCTACCTTGGTATGGACATTACTGACTTAGATCTTGTTTGTTATTATTTTTAAAAATCCATTAGTGCAGGCCCATTTATGGACCTCATATTAGGGAACTCTTGCTTAAGAAATGCATTAAATCTCTGAAAGGTATTTTCATAACACTATGAATTTAATAGTGAAAATGAATCACAGCCCCTAACCAAAGGAATTTGAATTTTCTACATTCTGGTCATGAGAACTTGATCTTCCACCCTGAAGTTGTTAAGGTCTCCCTGAATCACTAAAAGAATTACTTAAATCTGTTTTCTCATGGTCAGCTTGTAAAGGTCAGTAAAGGACAGCCATTTGAAAGAAATAGATAATATGCATCCTTCCAGATCTAGTGCATTTTACAGCTGTCCCTTTGGACTTACTCCAACAACAGCTCAGTGACTCTTAGAGGAAGAGAATTTGAGGCCCTAACTGGAGCTCAGAAAAACTGTACTCAAAAACACTTGATGCCCATGCATATCCACTGTAGTGAAATTTGTTTAAAATTATGCTGCTTAGCCCTGAAATCCAACTGGTCTCTCAGTGTTTTTTTATTTTCCTTTCCAAACTGTCTTCATCCATCTCTTTCTTGCTGTTACTATTGCTACTTCTCTTTGTTGGGGCTCTTGTTATATTTTTCCCTGGATAATTTAAATGATTTAGTTTCCCTACTTACTCTTCCATGCTCTAAGACTGCAGTGACCCAAATGAAAGACCATATCATGGAAAAGTTCACAGTCCAGCAGGAAGTCAAACATGGGCATAGATACTGTTAATAAGAATGCTTTGAGGTAAAGTCATAGAAATACATATAAGAGGCTGGGTAACATCAAAAAAGGTAGTAGTTAACTCTGGAAATATTTAAAGTAACTTTTAAGGAGAGTAATCAAACCATAGAATTATTAATCCAGATTTTAATCATGTTGTTTCTGATAAGCCTAGAGGCAAGTTTTTGTTCTCTTGTTCTAAATCAGACCAAAGATACATTTGGTAATTTA